ATAATCTATCATACAATACCTGATGTGACCCAATGTCAGCAGTTCCTGTGTTATATTTACTTTGCCTCATTACTGATTGTTCTATGGAACAGGCAGCACATGTTCCTTAAGGACCATTCCAAATTAACTCACTCCGGAATGTTTGCACACCTGACTCCCTTTTTCATTTGATTTTGCCTGGATACATGGGACCCAGCCATGTTTTAACCTATTACAATATTAAAACAACAAAAAAAAGCCACAATAATAAACAGGCTCCTTTAGTCCACTAAGCAGCATGACTCCCTAGGAGGTCATGTTCCTGTGGTCTGCAGCTAATCTGTCCACCCTCCCCACCCCCAAGTCTCAAGCAGAGTTTCATGCAGGCTATAAGATTGCACAGGTTTTAAAGACATGGGTTTGTCACTAGAGCTGTGCTGCTAAAAGGTGTGGAATAAAGCTGCTATGAGTGGCATTAGTCCTGTTGGCAACAGAGCACTTCTGCTGCTAACCTACACCAGCATTTGTCACCAACAAAACTTGTGTGTGTTTTTAACACTTTGGAATGACAAAAGTTATTGTTGTTCAGTAGACACATCATCAGTGAAAACCACCATGGGACTCTATGCTGCATTACAGAGAGGATGCTTTCACAGCGAACAGCCATTCTCTTACTCTCATCCCCTTCCCAAGCCATTGTAACCTCTGGTGTACCTGTGGGAGAGACATTGAGCCAGCAAACCCCACCTGCCACATCACAAACCAAGATTTGCCCAGTTTAGATCATCTTCACTTGCAGAAGTGGTGGGATAGCTGGAGTGGCCCATAAGTGTGTGTCATATTTGTAAATCCAAACGTGTTATTCATTAATTTACTCATTTCGTCACACGGCTGAGAAACAGCCGATTATTTTGTGATGCCAGTGAAGTTAGCATCTTGTGACTAGCAAGCAAAAACACCATGCTCCTCCACTACTATGGTTGCAACAGTCAGTTTGGGGCTAAGTCAAAGGAAAGGATCTGCACTCTCCCTTCTTTCCGCACCATAGAATAAATAGACCACAGCACAAACGCCTGCTTTATTCACCTAGCCCAGAGAAACCTTACAAGGGCAATGAGTGTTATTTGAAATGCATCCTCCCTGTCGCTGCAAAACTGCCATGTTCTTGTAGATGCTGGAGTGCCATGTGGGGTTACAATTTCTAAACAAGCTGCAAATAATTGGTACTCAGCTGGAATCATACTATGTACACGGCGAAGCAGTCAGCATTTTACAAGCAAGACCACAACAGATATACTTCACTGGTGCTGATAGAACAGGACTCCTTGCGCCTAGACCTTGAGCCATCTTCTAGTGGATGTCACCTGCTGCTGATCACATAGGGTATGTCTAGAATACAGGCTTCTGTCGACAAAGAACGTCTAGATTACATCCAGTTCTGTCGACAAAGCAAGCCGCTTTGTCGACATGACAGTGTGGACTTAAAGGATAGTGTAGATGCAATAACGTCTTCTGTTGACAGAACTCTGTTGATAAAAGGCGTTATTCCTCGTAGAATGAGGTTTACTGCCATCAACAAAGCTGCTGCGTTCTGTCGACGTTATGTTGACAGAACTCAGGGGCAGTGTAGACGCAGGTATAGTTTTGTCAACGAAAGTCCACTTTTGTCGACAAAACCCTGTAGTCTCGACACACCCATGTATATTTAAAATTAGAGACAGGCTATCATAGCACTTCATAAACTTGCACATAGTAAATCCTTAAAGGCAGCTGGTCTTTCCAGAGCTGTAATACAGTATCAGAATGACTTAAGACTATCCACATATGTAAAACCAAGCAGTACACGTGTTGTAAGCTAGCGTAATGACATGACAAATCTATGGAATAATTAGTGCTAGTTATGGAATAATTAGAGCTACATCCTACCATGTGTGGCACTGGTGAGCTAACAGATATCAAACGGGAGTTTCTCTCTTTCCTGAAGTTTTTCTTATGAAAGTAAAAGCACAGGGCTAGAGCTCTTGCCAGTCTCATGAGTGCATTAGGAACAATGCACAGCTCCCACTCTGGTTCCATCTTTCAGTCCTATGGAGCTGGCAAACACAGTAAACCACCCATAAATTAGCATCCATGCTCTGTTTTGCAGCACCAGCTATTCAGGACATCATGCGTGTTCCTCTTCAGTGGAAAGGCAACATGTGCATTAGTCTTCCCCATGAATTACTGCTCTAGCCAGCAACATTCAAGATGCAAAAGGAAGACTCTGCCAGCATACCTGAATCCATGATCACTGTATAATCTCTAGTTCCTTCTCATGTGTGTTGGGGTGCCCAAACTGTCAGAGATTAGGACATAGGCGGTTGTGCCTTGAGATCAGAGCAAGAGTTAGGCTTAGTGATTAAAGAATGCATCAACAGTCAGATTTGGAACCCAAGGTCTGAGGCTGTGGGTCAGAGGGCAATGGCTAAGAACCTTGGTTCTAGCACAAGTCAGAAATCAAAGCCAAAGACCAGAACCCACTTACCTGAATTGAAGCAAGGCAAAAGCACGACTGGGAAGAAGGCAGGAGCTAGCAGAGGCCTAAAAAATTATTTGAGTAGCCACTGAACTGCAGCCACTGGGGTGAACAGGCTGGTTGCTAACTCTTCTAATCAATGAGGTGGCATAGCCAAACAGGCAGCCTACTACAGGCCAGCTGGTCTCAGGTTGCCTGGGGACTAAGTCCATGGCAGACCCTGAACCCCGCCACAAGCACTATATGACTCATTTCCTCCAGATATGCTGAAAAAACTATTAAGTAACTAGCCAAATTAGCCTGTCTTAAGACGGGATTTTCAGGTCTCTCCTGCATGTCGGTCTTCTGTCCTGAGCCTCTAGTCTCTTGCTCTCTCTCCTCCTCCTCCTACCCCCCCACCCAGCTCTCCTCCACCTTCTGCCTCTCTCTCCTTCTCTTCTCTCCCTCCTTCCTCTCACTCTCTTTCTCCACTCTCCTCTGTCTGTCAGGGATGCACCCTTGTCCAGGCCCCACCCCCTGCCCATGTATGTCACTGCCCTACCCTACTTTGCCTCTCGCCATGGTGCTGGGCTGACTTCTGCGCCGCTCAGCCAGGCCACCACACGGGAGCAACACAAACGGCCTCTCTCTCTCCTCCTCCTCCTGCCTTGCCCTCTCTCTCTCAGCTCTCATCTGCCTCCTGCCTCTCTCTCTTCTCCTCCTCCCACCTCTCACTCTGTGTTTCTCTTCTCCTCCTCCTGCTGTGTCTCACTCTCTCACTGTCCTCCACCTCTTCTGTTCTCCTCTGCATCCGCTCTGCTTTTCTCCTTTTGAATCTGGTGCCCTTTCCTGATGTCAGAGATGCATGCTCATCCAGACCCTGCCCCCTGGCTGTTCCCTCTGGCTGGCGCAGTTGCCACCTCCGTGCTGCATGGGGGGCATGGACCCCAAACAGCTGCTTGTGTTGCTTGCTCCCGTGTGACAGCCTGGCTGAGCAGCGCAGAAGTCAGCCAAGTGCCATGGCAGGAGGCAACAGTGCCGCCCAGAGGGAACAGCAAGTGTTTCAGCGTTACAGAAATTGGCATTTTTCTCTCTCTCATATATATTATATATATATATATATATATGATGTAATACAGCAGTGTGTTTTTCATTTTGTAGGGCCAGCCAGAATACCCACTAACTTGAGCTGCAATCCTAAATCCTTCTTACTTCTGAAGGTTCTCATGAAGATAATTTATGAATGGAAGTTGCTGCCTCCTTGAACTTCCATCTAACCCACCAACTGCAGCAGGCCACGCAATTTGTAAGTTATGAAAATTGCCATGTTGGCATTTCCTTAATAGAATGTTTTTGTAAACAATGTTTTATGGCAACTCAATTATCCAAGCCTAAAACAGAGCATTTGATGCAGAAAATCCATAGCAAGGTTACCCAACCTGTTATTAACCTACTGAAAGAGGAAATGACAGTTGTTGACAACAGCGAGTAATAGGGGAGCAGGATGAGGAATGTCATTAAGTGCCACATTTTAGGAAAAATTTTTAAATGTAGGTGCCTAAATATGGATTTAGATTATTTAATTTAGATCACTAAGGGTATGTCTACACAGTGGCACTATTTTGGGATAACAGACATTATCCTGAAATAGCTTTCGGCACATCTTAACAGCATGCCTGTTATTTCAAAATACATTCAAAATAACGGGCTTGTTAGTGCTGCTTCCTGTAAACCTTGTTGCACAAGGACTAAGGAAGGCACCGAAATAGTGATTTCAAAATAAGCACTGTGCAGACAACACCAAATTTCAAAATAAGCAACATAATTTGTGTAGCCCAAATAGCATAGCTTATTTTGAGCTACACACTACTGTGTACATGTATCCTAAGTAGTCTCATTTTTGAGATGGTAACACTTCCCAACTTCCACTGATGTCAATGGTCATCTTTTCTCCTTATTTTGATGTTAAATACTATCTTTAAAAAGCCCAAATTCGTATAAACCTGTGAGCTTTGGGATGATTATCTACAACTCTAATCAGGAAACACTGGGAGTGTATTTGCTTGAGGGTTTACCACTTCTACGGCATTATAGGAAGGTAAAAATATAACAAAACTTTAGAAGCTCAGCAATATGAACTATTCCATCATTTTAGTCAAATTAGATACTCAAAGTGAATATATGACCACACTAATTTGGGGGGGAGGGTGGGAAGGGGTGTACCATTGTTATCCAAGTCATGCAGTTACACAATATTTAGACTGCTGCCTCATTTTGAACACTATGCTCAACATTTACAACAAAGATTTAAAAGTCCCAAATTGTTTCAGGATCGCTTAGAAACCTGAAATTCTAAAAAGTTTAACTGGATTTTTTATTAAGGTTTCAAATGAACCTATGGCTGCTTGGGGCTTTATGTTTAAATTTAAAAAAAACCCCACACTATCTGAAGCTTCATATCTAGAGTTTGCATTTTTGGTGGTTTTTCTTCCAATAAAAAATAAAACTGCTCATTTTAAGAGTTCAGCGTTATATTTTGATGTTTATTTGAATTCCAAACACACAAAGAGTAGGAACTGGTACAGATTCAACACGAAGAAAGTGCTTGGACAAAACCTTATGAAATAAAACCAATAAGCTAGAGTTGGCACATGGCCTGGTTTTGAATTTACCATTGCATTAATGCAGTTTCATAAGAACAAGGAGAGGCATCAACTATTTTAACTTTATGGGGAGTAAGGAAAAAAAGAATAATCAATAACGGATAAAGCTTAAGAGTGGGAACTAGGAGACCTAAGCTTTATTTTCAGTCTCTACCACTTTCTTTTTGACCTTCTACATATACAAATATGGTGCTTAACCCATTCAAATATGGGCACTTAAATTCAAATTTAGGCACTTAATTCCAGCCCAAAATGCTGAGTACCCAATAGTTCAAACTGAAATAATTGAAAATCTTGGCTTAAAAGTCTCTCACCTTATCCTTATTTGTAATATGGATACAACTAATGATTCCTTTCAAGGGATCATTGTTCTCTCCTACTCATATGCAATACTGCATTAGCAGCTATGTGCATTATACATTTCACAACTTCCTCTGAACTATCTGGCAATGGCCACTGTTGAAGGGTCATCCTATGAAGAGGTTACATACAAGTAAATAGGAACAAAGCATACAGGAAGAGAAGAGAGTGCTGCATAACTAACCAGCAGCACATGATCTACTTAAGACACACAGAATAATTTGTATTGTTAACTCCAAAATTCCCCCAGCTGAAAGACACTTCCACATAGCCCTCTCATTTGTGGCCACTTGTGTAGTTTGTGATCTATTGGATGTAAAGAACCAAAGATCAACATTTTCCTCAAATGCAAACTAATGAGATTGATTTGATCTGATCTGTACAATTAACACAGTGTCACAGTAAAAATTCCAAAGAGGTGTCGCCTCATCTCTTTCCTGCTCCAACAAATCCCATTTAGGTAAAGGACTTCTTTATATACAGAGACATTTTTATTATCCATCAACTGTATGCCAATAAATCCACAACAGTCAGTAAAAACTTCAACGCTATTTTCATACACCAGTTTATTTAATTATAATTACAGCTCACTGCAACAGGAAATGGCCACTATCTGAGAAGTCTTGACCATCAGACTTCCCGTATGTAGATTTCCTTTAAGATCTGACACTAGAGTATAAGAAGAGTATTCCATTTTATTGTGTAAAGGCTACTTGCATCAGAATTTTATCAGAATTATTTATTGCCATTTTTTCCCCCCAATTAAAACTTTGACAATACAATCTTAGATAGGACACAGATTTTATTGTCCAAAAATTATTTCACTGATGATAAAGTTGTGTCATATTAAGTCTTTATGCTATATACATTAATTGCCATTGCTGATGCCACTTTCAAGCAAATATGAACAAGTAGAAAAAAAATGTGACTGCCACAATGTGGAGGCAACCAGACAATGGAGTTTTATCCTTCACTGAAGTAACAGGAATTTTTTTTTGCCCAAATAAGGACTGGAGCAGCCTTCAGAGGCCCAAGTGCACAAAATGAAATGTTTAATAATATAAACTCCTCAACATTCCAAATCTCTTAAATATGCCTATTTGTAATTACTGTTACCCTACTTTGGTTTACAAGAAATTCTTGCTTCTCTGAAGGTGACTTGGAGCAGAAATTATGAAAAAAAAGTAACATGCCCTTTCAGGTAAAATCCTTTAGTCACATTACTGACAACAGGCACACAGTGAGTGACTTGGCAACCTGGAACTGGGAAGATATTGCTGAAGTCTGTTATAAATTTTAATGATGAAACAGTCAGGAATAAATGCTCCCAAATTACTATATTAAATGGTTTTAAAATACTTAAATATGCAGAACAATTACACCTCTTACAATTGTCTTACTGACCTCTAAGTACATATTGATTTTGCAGGCTTAAGTTTCATGAAATGGTCCTGTCCCATTCAGTTATCTGGTTGATTAAATAAAAACAAAAGTTCTCATCTTTTAAAAAGAAATTGACATGATGTGGGTAAGTCATTTCATTAATAGTAAAAAATTAGTTCTTGTAAGGCAGCAAAGAGTTAAATGTAATTGTTTACATTTGAAAGAGTATGTTACAAAAAAAGGCAGGCTACAAGATTTAGTGGAAGGATGATGTGTTTTATGTTGGCAAAACTTTGTATTCATGATGAATTTTATAATGGAGAAGAAAATGCAAAAGTCTGCATCATAGCAGATGTAGAGCTCTTCCTTTGTTGTAATTCACAATGAGGAGCGCATTCCCAGTTTTTCCAAGATAAAGATATTTAGTTCTTCTTTTCCATCCTACCAAACAAAAACAGGAGAATTCAGTGAAAGTCTTAGTATGTAATTACAATTACTGACTAAGGCTCGAATATTCTGTGGAAATCAAAGGTTGGGTATGAAAAAAAGAATTCGTTTATCTGGTTTATAACCTTACCAAAATAAAACTGCTCCCTAAACTATCCTGTTTTGTGTACTCTAGTTTTAAAATGTCCCAAAAGATGGGAGTTCCTAAGCTATTGTGTCAGCTAGCTATTGATGAGGCAATGAAATGTTCAGCATTTGATTTGTTTCTGCCATTTGTTTCCTGGGAGGTCTACCCCGCAGCAGCAACAGAGAGATGAACAACTAGCAATAGGATGTTATAAGCAGGAGGCACCACAAACAACTGGCAGCTAATAGTCACTGTTGAGTATACAAGATAAAAAACTGCAACCTTTTTAATCTGAATTCATGCATAGAGAACAATTCCTATCAAATGTCAGTTTGATAACCCTTCTCCACCCAGATTTTCAAATTTACTCACGTGTATTTCATCAGTCGTCCTCCTTGGATAAGCTGTGCAATTTCATTAGTGAAGTGACATGCAAACAGAAGCCAGTTTCTCGGCTGTACCTTGTAGGCAAATCTCATAAAAGTCAAAGAGTAACAACATAGTGCTGTAAAACAAGAGCCAACATAGCGTGAGTAGTAGAGTCCAACTATAAGGTCAAAAGGAACCACCATATAATCTAGTCTAACCTTCAGCATATTACAGGCCACAAAACATCACCCTTACGCTAAATCCAACAATTAAATTTAGATCGAAGTATTACATCTACCTGGAGACTAGACTATTAGGAGCCACAGGGAAAGAATAGAATAATCCTGGCAAGTGACTTGCACTGACATGTGCTGCAAAGGAAGGCAAAAATAAAAAATGAACCAACCAAAAACAAGAACAAAAAAATCCCCAACATCACTGGCTTATGGTTAAGAAATTTATCACTTAAGATTTCAAATTTCTCCTATTTGTTAAGACATCATTTTCATGCAATCAATGCTAATTTCATGGCAAACCACTATTTAGCAACTATTGAATGCATTTATCCTTACTGTGGCAGCATCTCAAACAGAGCAAAGTAGTAAGTGGTCTGTTTTGCTGGGATCCAAACAGAGGATTCATTGATTCAGAAATCCACAGGTATTGCAACTCTCAGTGGCTTCTTATAACCACACACAAGATACAGAGTCTTCGATTCAGGGTCCAAATATTCCCTGTAAGTGGTGTGCTTGTTTGGCCATTCAGGAGAGATTCAAACGCTGCTCTGCTGATTAGCAGAGGTTTTGTTTCTATTGGTGGTACACATTCACATATCCCTCATGCATATAAACATTTATTTTGCACATGGATGGACAAAAATCCACATAGGATGGAAAAAGTTAATCAGAGCACTGGCCCAAATGCATCTCCTACTACAGTTAATATTGATTCCAGTGGTAACTGGATCAGGCCCTACATAAATAAGACCCCTGCAAATTTGAATCTCTTGGCATATTGTATTTAAATATGGTTCTTGGTAGGAAAGGACTTTTATTTTTAAAAGCAATAAATGCTCCTAAAAAACCCCATACATTCTTCAAAATACTCACCTTCAAGGGCGAGTATAACTTCAGGAAGGCACACAAATGATTTTTAATCTCCCTTTAAATGCTATTAAGGGTAAGGGTTAGAAAATTAAAATCCAAGGAAAATTAATTTTTTGCTGTAGTATAAATTTTCCCATTTTTGATGGAAATTCAAGACAGCCTTTTGTGAGCCATAATGAAATAGCTATTTGTGACAATAGACCAAACAGACCTGGTCTCAGAAGGGAAAGCCTTGTATTTTAAGGGAATCATTTGCACTTCTATCAGAAAATTTGGAAGAGGGAAGAAAGGACTTGTTTACGTTTTGTACAAAATGTAACTCATTCAAGCATGTAGCAAAGATACTGCTTTGTGGAGAGAAAGCTCACCTACTAACCTTTGTAACAGTTGCAGTCATCCTCCAGCCCAAACATTGTAAATAAAACTATTTTTAACAGTAATAGAACCTTCTGTTTGTAAACAGGTACAAAGTGGAAACTGACCTAGTTAACTAAACATTGTGTTGTAATATACATATATTTGAGGAAGCAAAGTTCTTTGGCAAAATATTTGAAGAACTGTGCAATTTCACTATTTAAAAATCCTCCTCCCAAAATCAAAATGGGTATTTAAACTTCCATCCCAATGGGAGTGTGCTATTCCACTGTAAAGAGAAGATGGGTAGTTTCAACATCGTCTTGAAACATCTATTTTAGTGTAAAATGCTTATAAAAATGAAGACCTTGTAAAACATGAAAATACAATAAAACCTTAAGCAGACACCCAGTATTAGCTATATAGAAAGGGGACATTACAGACTGAACAAACTTACACTACAAAATATCCCTTTTGATTAGTTGCTTAAGACAAAAACTACTGAACCTTGATTCAGTTCCATGTGAAGATGAAAAGGAAGCAAATGTGTTTTATTTATCAGTTTCTTCAGCATGGGCTAGACTGTTAGGAGAATACTGCCACTTATAAACAAATAAAATCCCAGGTTATGTCCAGACTACATCCCTCTTTCGAAAGAGGGATGTAATTAAACATATCAAAATTGCAAATGAAGCCAAGATTTGAATTTCCCATGCTTCATTTGCATAATTGCATCAAGGCGTTCTTTCGAAAAACGCTATTTCAAAAGTGAAACCGCGGTCTAGACACTGTTCTTTCAAAAAGAAAAGCCTTTTTTGAAAGATCCTGTACTCAAAACATGAGGTTTACAGGATCTTTCAAAAAAGGCTTTTCTTTTCGAAAGAACTGCATCTAGACCGCCTTTTCACTTTCGAAATAGCGTTTTTCAAAAGAATGCCATGAAGTGATTACGCAAATGAAGTACGGGAAATTCAAATCCTGGCTTCATTTGCAATTTCAACATGTCTAATTTACATCCCTCTTTCAAAAGAGGGATGTAGTTTAGACGTACCCCCCAGAAACAGGTTCTACTGGGACTCACAAAACCTCACTCAGCAGCAGCTGCGTAAACTTCCTCAGCACCTAAGTTTCTGCTGTAGAAGTCTCCTAGTTACCTATGTTTTTGGCACTGGGCCTATGCACTGCAGACGCAAGCGTCAAGCATCTGCATGCCTAAGCCTCCAAGCAATTCACCAACTGAATAGGAATAGGTGTTCTGATGCACTCAGAGCTTGCATATTGACTTAAGCTCTGATAGGTGATCTTACATAAGTTTCTGCTGAAGCTTTGGGGGGTGAAGAGGGGGGAGAGGAAAGAGGAGCAAATTGAGCAGGGATTTGAAACCTCTCAGGTGAGAGCCCTAACCACTGGTCTATGGTACAGTCTGATGTGGCAATCCCTAAGGCTAGGTCTATGTTTAGAACTGGGGTCCAATTCCCAGCTCCAGTCAACATGTCTGTACCAGCTCTCATCAAGCTAATGTGCTAAAGATAGTGTAGCCATTGTAGCATGGAAAGCAGAGAGCAGCAGCATGGGTTAGCAACCTTGAATACCAAGCTGTCAGATCCTGTGGATAAGTACTTGGGGCAGCCAGCTTATACCAGCATTCGCTACTGTCTATGCTACCATGGCTTCAGTACCTCATGTACTAGGTGCTCCAGTCTTTCCTGGAAAAAGTGTTCCACTGCATATAAACATGGTGGGGGGGAGGAAAGGAGAGAAGAGAGAGCGAGCAAGCGAGCATGAGGATGTCTGTAGCCTGGTGGTTAAAGCACTCAACTTGGGAAGTGGAAAAAAAAAAAAATCAAGGATCTAATGACTTTTACAAATTATTTATCCAAACTGGAACTAGTTCAGCAGAAGACTTTAAAGGAACCCCCACCCTCCATCACATAGAGCAGCAGTTCAGACACTCACCTGAGACGTGTCAGATCCCAGTTCAAGTCCCTATTCCCCCCTCATTTAAAGGGGGACTTGAACTAGAGGGTCTCCACATCTCAAGGTGAGTACTCTAACCACTGGGCTAAAAGAAAGGACATCATTTGCTATGGGGCAAGGAGAGCAATTTTCTCCGAACCTTACAGAGTGCAATACAACCACACAAACTTCTATGTGTCTGATGGAGGATGGAGTTGCTGCAGCAGATAAGCCAAAGCAGTTCTGTGCTGAAGCTGACAGGTAGAGGCACCTCTTCCTGATCCCACCCCCTTGTCACAACTGCTCCATGCTGGGGGAGTGTGCCTCTACTCCTGCCCCAGCATGGTGACCAACCTGAAACGGCCATAGACCTGCAACCAATGGCAGTCAGGCTCTCCTTCCCCAGCTGTGCCCCTGGAACTGTGGAGCTCACTTGGCCTCAAGCTTCAGTGGTGAGAGATGATTGACGGACAAGTGTGTGTCTGTGTGTGGAGGAGCCTGTACCCTCAACTCCTCATCTCCAGCCAGAGCCTTCACCCCAACCCTCGGAGCTACTCCTGCCACATATTGTCCATGTGTGAAATGACTTGTTAGGAGAGACAACACCTCCATATTGGTGAACATAACAAAAGTCATTCCATACATGGACATTAAAAAAAATTAGAGGGAATACTGCTCTCCTTCCCCAAATTTTTCTGAAATGATTTCCATGGCTAAAAGTTCTGGGAGAGGTTGTTCTCCTCCATCTTCTTGCTAAACAGGCATCTAGCACCAAGAAAGGGCTTGCAAGGATGAAGCCAAGGCACAGGGAAGCACCTATCCCTGGCTTCAGGCATCTCAGAGAAGCAGAGCACCTCTCAGCTTGGCATCTCTCATTGGCTGGTGTAGGCAATGAGCCACCAAGCATGCTGGCCTTTGTGAATCCATTTCTAACACTACATCTACACTGCTTCCTTCTTGTGGAAGAGGAAATGCAAATGGAGCACTCATTAGCATATGTTTTCCGATCCTTTTTGCAGAAGAGGTTTTTGCGCAAAAAACCAGTGTAGACGGGGCCATTTTGTGCAAAAAAACCCCTTTTGTGCAAGAACCCCATAAACCTCATTTTTGGGGGATTTTTACAGTATTGCTAGGGAAGATCTTAAAATTTTGTTCTGGATGAAATTTGAAAAGGTTTCAGAAGATTCACTATATTGCATGTGAATGTCATATATATATATATATGATGAAAAAATGGCATACTGTTATTGTCTCTCTGTTCTGGATATGCCTTACACTTTAGTTGACCTGAGGAGTTGACCACCAGAGCCTATTTCAGCACGCATAGCACAAAGCAGTGTCTATGTCAATACCAATGCCCAAAGGGGTCTTCCATCAGTAAGCAATACTGGCTGTCTTGAGAGCAACATTTAATAGATAGTAACTCAATTCTCCAATAATACTTGCTTGAAGCAATCAAATTAAATGGGTAGAAATCAGACCTTTTGTTATAACAAACATGTTTTTACTTTGGAAGGGAATTTGCTCAAAAGAATACTGAACAAATTAAGTGGAATGCACTATATTTTGGCTAATGTGAAAGTCATTATGTAATTAAGAGCTGTATATTAAACTTAAAGGATTTGGTTTGGTTTTATGTTTATGATGCAAGAAGAAAGAAAATCAAATGTCAGAAGGAAAGCAGATACTTGAGGAAAATGTTTATATTCCAGGAAAAACAATTGTTTAAATGAAACTATTCATCCATTTCCAAGCAGCAAATCTTCTGAACAGAACACAGAATGAATGATAGAGAGAAGTTTTCAAGAGTGATTAAAGCTCCCTTGCATTTGTAGAAAACCTTCTAATACAGAGTTGTTACTCTCTAAAAGTAATTTAATTCTGTTATTAAGGTGCAGGCAGAACTTAAACTTCAGAAGACACTGCCTTTCAGTTCTTCAGATGGCAAGTATTGTAATTTAAAACTCATACCACACAGAAGCAGCATCCATGAGAGAGTCGTGGTACAAGGCAGAAGCAGTAACAAATTAACATTGGAAATAAGTTAGGAAAATGTTCTGTAATGAATGTTATACGGTAACAGGCAAAGGAGAGAAAATTTTGTAATTATGTAATTACAACTATTGATTTTGAATGCCCAATTTGAGACACCTTTAAGAGACCCTTTCCCTGCCATCTACATTAATTACTGAGTATCTACTCTCTTGGGGGGGAAACATTGCCCCTTTAAGATGTTTCAAGTTGGGCACCTTAAAAAAGGAGGGAGCAGTTATGGGTTACTTTTAAAAACATAAATACACAGTTTTTTAGAAACAATAAGAGTTTATGGATATGTTAAACTAATATTATTGCTTTAAGTGTAGCATTTGGCAAGTTTTTTGTGGACTTTAAGTGATCTGATAGTTTAATAGTCTGTTCCAGTTTCAACCCTGTTTCTTACCAAATGTCATCCGCCCACTAATGATCTCTGGAGATTTCTTCATGTCATTAATAGCAGCAATAGGGAGTCCCCAGTTGGCTACCGGTCCCCAAAAGTGCTGTAAATAAAGTGGAACAAAGCAAAGAGTTTATCTTCACATTTTGAGATGCATTTTTTTCCTATCAGCTACATGTTATTCTTATATGTTTTACTAGCGGATGATCTTGAAGAATTGTAATATGTTAAAACTTCCACGTTAGAACAGACACAGTTTTCAAGCACACTTCAGTGGAGGAAAAAAAAAATCTGTTGTCAAATAAAGGTCTTATCCTCTCCACTGCAGGGAAAAATCCTTCCCACTTTCCTAAGACCATGGATGTGGGTATGGCATAGCTTGTGTTATGGGGGAGAAGGACACAACATGCAGGGAAAAATCCTTCCCACTTTCCTAGGACCATGGATGTGGGTATGGCATAGTGTTATGGGGGAGAAGGACACAACATACCATTCTTCCCAGGCTGTCAAGTGGCAACAGAACCCGCTCTGGGGTCACTATTGTAACTTCAGGTTTATACTAGAGAGTCTACAGCTAATTCATGCAAACAAGTAGTACATATTGTTCATGCAAATTCTCCAAATCATCGTTCAGTATAAAAGCAGGGAAAAAAAATCTCAATGGAAAATATTTAAGTGAATAACTTAAGGGACTCAGAGGGGTAACCAGGTTAGTCTGTAATTTTAAAAACAATGAACAGTCCTGTGGCACCGTAGGACAGGTCTACACTAGGGATGTTAAATTGCATGTAATCAGCTAATCGAGTAGTCGATGGAATTTCCATCAACTACTCGATTAGTTGCTAAGGAGGGAAACTACAGAGCCACAGCAGGGTTAGCTCCCGAGTCCACTATGCTCTTAATACATTTAAAAAGCAGAGGTGCACCTGGGGGTACCAGAAGTGATCTGGCAATCAGCTGATTCCTGGCTCACGCCCCATCCCAGCTTCACCTCTGCCTCCCCCAACAGTGCTGGGGGGGGGAAACCAACTTTTAAGCCAGCTCCCCGCAGTTCTGGCTCCTGCTCTCTCCCCACCTCTGATAGAAGCAGCAAGAGAGGGGAAGTGACTAGTCGAGTCACTACTTGACTACCTAGTAACCATATGCTTATCAGGAAGTCAACTACTCACTTACATACGCTAGGGATGTAAGCAACTAATCGACTATCCAATAAGAAAAAGCTTATTGTACAGCTGACACACTAGTCAGAAAGTAGCAGCAAAGGGGGGGGTAGGAGGAGAGGAGAAGGTACTGGGGAGAGCCGGCTTAAAAGCCTGTTCCCCCCAGCTCCAGCTCCGTGGGAGGGGGCGGGGCGCAGCGGCAGCATTCCACCTTTCAAATGTACAAGAGTCCCTGCTGGGGCTCTTGTACATTTCTAAGCGGAAGTGCCACATAGAGCCTGGGGCCAGTGGGTGTGTCTCAGTCCCGCACTGGCCCCAGACCCCTGCTGGGGTTCTTGTACATTTCAAAGGTGGAACGCTGTGTGGAACTTCCGCCTTTGAAACATAGCAACAGCCGGGTGGTCTTTTGCCACATTTGAAAGCAGAAGCACCCTTATCGACTAATCAAACAGTCGATGGAAATTCCATCAACTGTTTGATTAGCTGATTAATCTAATTTTAACATGCCTATTCTATACTAGAAAATTTTAAAAGTATTTTGAAATAACTCCCAAAATAACTATTTCAAAATAACATATCCACACTACAGAGTAGCCTCAAAATTAGTCCAAGGCAGGCTTCCTTACTGTGGACATGCTACCTCGACTTTGAGCCCCAGGACGCACTATGGAGTAATTACTTGGAATGATGCTTGGGAGTAGTTATTTCAAAATAGCAGCAGCAGAGCATCTACACTACTGCTATTTCAAAATAACTATGTCAGAATAAACATTATTCCTCAAGGAAGGCAGGAGTTATTATTTTGAAATAACCAGCCCCTTATTTCAAAATAGTGGACTTGGTAGTGTGAATGCTTCACTCGAAATTAGGGAGTTATTTCAAAATAACTCACTTTGAGTAGACCAGGGCTTAGAGACTAAAAAATGAGAGTATCATGAGCTTTCATGGGCAAAACCCACTTCTTCCGAGGAGATAACCTTGAGTAGTCATGAAGATCATCTCCTCTGAACAAGTGGGTTTTGTCCACAAAATTTCATGATACTATATATTTTTAGTTAGTCTCTAAAGTGCATTAGGAAACGTTGTACTCACAGACTTATTTAATGGGACTTCTGCTGCTGCATCTTTTTGCATATTGCTTTGAAGTTTACATCATAACTGGTCAAATTCAGTTTCATTCACGCATTCAGGCTGTCTCCTGTCAATCTTATGGCAGGGGGCTGGGGATGTGCAGGGGGGAGGGAAAGGGGCCAGAATCTGGGTAGGAGGTGGGGTGCAGGAGCTAGCTGGGAGTAGGGTGTCTGACCTTGGGGAAGGGTGTAGAAGCAGACTGGGGGTAGATGTCTGGCTGGGGAGAGGAGCAGGAGCAGGCTGGGGGTGCAGGGTCTTGGTGGGGAAGGGAGTGTGTGAGGGTGCTGAGGAGTGCAGGGGTTGGGCATGCAGGGCTTGGGGGCACTTACTTGTTTTTGCACTGTGCACCACTCCCAGGCACTGGAGGCTTTCACCGCTGCTCCAGAAAGCCTTTAGGAAGCGTGCCTGAGTGCTGCTGTTCCCTCAACCAGGGGAAGGGAAACGGCAGAGCGTGGAGCTGGAAAGCCAAACCTAGTGGGGAGCCTCAGGGCTTCTCCCCCCTCCCCACACAGGAAGCCAGCACTGGCACTCCAATCTTGCAGGGAGCCATGAGGCTGGAGCATGAGTGCAGGCTCCCTGCTGCAAAGGGACCCAAGGGGGGCTGAGTTCAAGCTACAGAAGGACTATATCTGGCTCTCTAGTGAGCCATATTTGGCTTGCGAGACATAGGTTGCCTAGTGAGCCATATTTGGCTTGCAAGACATAGGTTGCTGATCCCTGCCCCAAGTAAATGAACATGGTTGTACCAATAACAATTTCTCCTCCCAACATAAACCACTTACAAGACCTCCAAACTGGCTAACTGCTAAGGTGAAAAGGTGAAACATTAGGGTACCTATTTGCAAGTGAAAGCTGGAATTCTTTACAGCCAGCTAATATTAAAATAGATGCAAAAATGATGTTAACATTAGACATATTCCAGTGATTCAGAACAAGGGAACATATGCAGGAGAGAAAGAAGAAAATGTGTTTCTTCACCTGTAATTTTAGTTCTGCTGAGTGCCATCCAATGGTCTGGGCATGAGCTTGTGGAATCCACAAGTAAAATCTGCTAGAATAGAGACAGCTTTGCTTCCACCCCCAATTCAAAGACAGACAAAATCTTAACTGCCTTTATTGTGATGGAATAAAGGGATCTAAATTATTAGTAGTGTGCAGACTAGTGAGAAGAGGTAGAAATCTTACCAAAGACAGCTAAACAAACCTCCATGATCCATTTTGCTGGATTAAGTGCTGTTTTGTACAAAGGCTGGCGATTTATCTTACTACAGTTAGAAGTGACTTCATGCATTTAAGGCTGCAAGGCTAAACACCACAAAGTAACACTGCCAAAAGTCACTTTAAATGCTTAACAATGGGACTTGGGTGCTTCTAACAATTTTATCCAGTTTAGTTTCAGAAGTCTAACCAGTATGACACAATTTACTTGTGAAATACAGTAGAATACTGACTAGAGAAATTAAAATAGTGATAGAAATGTAGCCGTGTTAGTCTGGTGTAGCTGAAACTTTTTTTTTATAATTGTATCCTTTGGTATATATGGTTGTGACAATTTTTTTCCACTATTTGATCTGAGGAAGTGGGTCTGGCCCACGAAAGCTCATCACCTAATAAACCATCTTGTTAGTCTTTAAAGTGCCACATAGTCCTGTTTTTTGTTAGAGAAATTAAAGACTTCCATTTCTACTACTGAAAATGTGGAATAACATGATAGTTAACTGGAAAAGAAAATGCATCAGAAATCACTAATTAAAAATCAACCCATTACCACTCAAACCCACAAAACAAGAATGTTCTGAGTTACAGAATTCCTCTTGTACGTTTATGGCTTCACCTAGATCTTGCCATTAATGAGATATTGACACCTGACAAGCATCAAATTGATATATACTAGTATTAATTCAGTAAGAGTGGAATTCTGTTATTTTGGAGGTCTTGTATGTAACCAAGTTTTTTTAATAATTTCAACATAGTTTACAACCACAGCTTTTATGCAAACAGAGGTACATTCCAGCCCACATCCTAACTAAGTTTATGTTGCTCATGCATCAGTTTAAGAAAGTTGTGAGTTGTATCCACAATTGTACACACATTGTCACGAATAGTGTTTTAAAATCTCTATAGTTATCTTTTGATTAATTTTAAAATCATGGAATTTAGTGCTTGAGAATTTACACAACGAGAGCACTGGAAAGTAGCTGCTCATTTACCCTCAAAAAGTTTTAGCTTTAAGAGACTTTATGCTAGCTTCTTGTTCTGAAGGATAGTTCATGTTCATTTAGTACTTAGTACCTTCTATAAGCAACTTAAGAAGGAATCAAGTCCCAGGATTATAGTAATGGGGGGACTTCACTAGAAACAAGTCAGAGTCCACTCAACTTGCTTCATACACATCACTAATCTTTCATCAAATAGTAACTTTCAATCTTGACTGACCTAGACCACATTTGAATTGGAGTCCAAGAAGTAAAAGGCTCCATAATCCCATTTCAATTCCCCGAGGCATCATCCTCCCTTAGAGGAATAATATATAAGATCCCGAGGCATCATCCTCCCTTAGAGGAAAAATATAAGATGTCTATATATGTAAAGTTGCACTTCATTATATAGACTATCTTCATGCTACATGGGAAGTAGAGTAGGATAGTTTTCTATGTTAGTATGTACTTAGCCATAGTATAGCACTAAGTACATTGAATCCCACAATATAATGAGCCAAAATTAGTAATGGAAATAATGGAGGACCATCAGAGAAAGTCTTGAGTGAGAGCTGTGGGACTGTAGTGCTCACTATCTGAAGTAAACATGGTTACAAATAAAACATTCATCTAACAACAGCATATGACTGTGCAGTAGTCAGAGATGGAGCTCTAAATCAATTCCATGCCCCTAGCAAACAGTGACAGGTAGGAAAGAAACCTGTATCTTTCTGAAGTGATTCCTTAACTGCTTTAGCCCTCTTTAAATGAGGGGATTGTTAGTCTGATGCACATGGGCAGAGAGAGACAAGGAAAAATTACTAACTCAACAACCAGTCCTGAAGATTAGCAATGTCTCTCACAGGTCAGTTCATAACAATGCTACTACAGCAAGATTACAAATAGCTGAAATGGAGCAGAAATAGCTTTTTCTTACCGTACTATGTTGTCAGCATTCACCATTGAGATGATGCATGAAATAGAAGCAAAGAAGAGAGTTAGTTTCCTACAAAAAACATTGTCAAATTACTGATCTTAAATGGAAGAAAGGAAGACATCAGTAATGCTGCAGCAATTTTTCTCAATTTATTGTACAATTTATTGTACTAGAACTTAAATTATTTAACAATTGTCTTGATAGAACACACATTTTACCCTCTAATATGCTAGGGTGCGATTCTAGTCCCACTGTAGTAAGTAGGAATTTTGCCATGGACTTCAATGGGGCCAGGATTCCACCTCTAGTCTTTTAGATCAGAGGGTGGCAAAAGCATAACTGAGTTATAAAAGGAACGTGGCTGGCTACCTCTTCTATGTAACTACAGATGGAGAAGAAATCTAATAAAGTGTAAGATTTTACTACTGAAGAACTCGAACAAACAGTAATTAATGTAAATCACAAAAGAAGTTGCATTGGCTTTGATAAAGAAATCAACAATCAAACCGACTTGCTAATTCACAGAAAGTTGCCATGACGTTTCAAAGTGGCAGCGCTGCACAGAGGCTAGGGTCAGAGGGGGAGTGTCCAGCTGATCCTGGGCTTTGGGGCTTTTGCCTTTGAAGCATAGCAACAGCCCAAGGGCTGTTGCTATGCTTCAAAGGTGGAGGCACCTATCGACTATTCGAATAGTCGATAAAAAATGCATTGACTATTTGATTAGTCAATTACCCAATACTTAACAACATCCTTAATATGATACAGGATGCACATAAAAGGGCAAAGGATAACATGCATTAGAAACTGTCATGCATTGTCTTGAGATGCACAAACTTTACCATAATCAATTCCACAATTCTGTATTTTTAGAGTTTGTATGATAAGAAGTTTCTGAAGACATTACTCTTACTAGTTTAAGACACTTTGTGACTAGACGTAGTAGTGTACAAAAGGTATATGCAAGACCACCAGGTATTCCTGCACATTTAAATTGTCAGACCTGCTTATAAAGTCCTATTCAGTATATCTGTCAAAGAAATGGTTTCACCATTATTTCTAGTATTCTTCCTTTTTTTTTGTAACCATGGCTCACTGACTGATTCAAGATGCTGCATGTGCATTTTTGTGAGTATGTTCCACAGTAACTTGTTATTGGGCTCCTGAGTATACAACGTTTTTAACAATGTGACATGATAGAAAGTTTTAGTAAACTACATTTTAGTACACCCGATACAAATTTGTTAGCTTCATGACTGTGTGACTTTTGTTTTTTCCTCAGTGATTTGAATAATGAACAATGAACCAGTCTCCACCTGACTCCACTGAAGAAAGGATGAATCAGTCCATTTTTTAAATGGTGGCAGTGTTAGAAGTGCCGTTTTCATTAAAACAAAATTACAGTGTATGTTTAGCTAAGTTTTGGGAAACACTGCTAATCAAACTCAGGAAGTTAAATTTAGATTAACTGGCTAATCGAATAGTTGATGCGGTTTGAATTAACTGTTGGATTAGTCGATAAAGGCGCGCCTCGCCTTTGAAGTGTAGCAACAGCCCTCCACTTCAAAGGCAAAAGCGCTGTGGAGTGCACAAGGCCAAGCAGTCCCCCACTTGCCCTGTGCTCCCTGCGGCATTTCAAATCAGCAGCACCACATGGATCCCTGGGTTAGCTGATCCTGGGCTCCTCACGGTTCTACTGCTTTGAAAAACCGCATGCAGTCCGGGCTATCTGGAGACTCCCCAGCTGGTCCCAGGATGCACGCTATGTTTCAAAGTGGCGCTGCTGCTTTGAAGCACCCTGTCCTCCCCCCTCTTTGCTGCCTCTTTCTGATAGAAGCAGCAAGGGGGGATAGAAGGGAAAGCAACTAGTCTACTAGCATGTCGATAAGCATTTGCTTATCGGATAGTCTACTAGTTGTTCACATCCCTAAATCGAACTAATTCAAAACATTTTCTTAGACTAATTCTTAATACATGTTGCACCTCTATAAACCAGGACTCTCTGATCCAGCAGGACCACAGATGTTCTAGGATCATGGTGTGATGTGGGAAGGTAGGGGGGCCATGAGCCTTTGCGTGTGGTCAAGCTGGGCTGTGGCTCAGCTGAGCTGTGGCTCAGCTGAGCTGCTGTTGGGGTGGGGGGGGTGGAGATGAAGAGAGAAGGGGGAGGTGGAAAGCAAGGAAGCCCAGCATGTGGCTCAACTGGGCTGCGGGGCAGGAGGGTAGGTGAGAAGGCTGGTGTGCAGCTCAGCTGGGCTGCGAAGGAAGATAGCGGGAAGGCCAGCACACACACCCCAGCTGGGCTGCCCGTAAGATATGGTTCAGCTGGGCTGTTCAGGAGGGGGGTGGCAGGAGAGCCAGGAAGCCCAGTGCACAACTCCGGTAAGCTGCCAGGGGAGTCAGGGGAGTCAGGAAGCCTGATGGGGCAGCAGGTGAAGGGGAGGGGTCAGCAGCCAGAAATGACCTCTACTGGTCTGGCAAAGTCCCTCATGTGGGACTAGTCAAGTCCCAAGGGTGCTGGACCAGGGAAGTCCAACCTGTATTTTAATGGAAGTTTGTTAAATTTAATGCCAATTAAATCCAGTTTGCAACAGAAGCTAAAGTACTGTTGTTATTTTTACAGTGGAACGCACAACCTTTCCAGATGGGGAAGATTATTTCCCCTCAACCAAATCCTTTTTGTTCACATGCCCTTGGGGCAGTTACCACAGTGGGAGGAATATGGAAAAACAAGGTTATGCAAACTCTACCCTCAGAAGCAAGTTCATATTTAGCTTAGTGCTTTGCAGCCAAGAACAGATCAGTTACATGAACAGATGTTATAATCTCTCAATTAGATGTAATCAGATTGCAGTATATGCTTGTTCTAGGGATGTAACTGGTCATTTTAAAATGTAATGGTTAACTACTAAAAAAATCCTAGCGATTACACACACTACAGGCCCTAAAGTAAGCTCTCTGGGATGATATAGAGAACAGCAGCATAGGTTGGCAGGGGGGCTCCCCAGGATTGGGGCTCGGAGTGTACTGACTACCGGCCTGGTATAGAGAACAGCAGCATAGGTTGGCAGGGGGGCTCCCCGGGATTGGGGCTCGGAGTGTACTGACTTCCAGGGACCATCAAATAGTTGCATAACCACTACGATATGGTGCAGTTACCCGATTATTAAACTGAACAACATCTAACAACCCTAGTAAGTGCAACCCCTCTAAAACAGAACTCTTGTTCTTCTGAGCAAGAACTATATTAGTCACAACAGGTCAGATTTAGATTCCTAGTTGCTTCTTTTACCAATTAGAGCATGGTAAGCTGGGGTATTGACTAACTTGTACCAGCGGTCTGTCATTTAACTGTCCTGCTGCTGCGCATCAACAGTTTAAGATGCTCTATCTAGTCCCATTTCAAAGGGAACACTTAAATGATGGACCACTGATGCAAGGTAGACACACTTGCCATGCACTAATTGTTCAGGTAGAGAAGCCCTAAATTAAAATCAACAGGATAGCCAGAGCATATCAGAGCACTGCAGTGAGTGCATTTTGTAAGACAGGCAAGCAGTAAGGTGCATTATGTATTAGCTTGAACATCCTGAAGGTTTCAGGTACATTACAGTGAACTATTAAGATGGCAGAGGCATGAAAAGACTAGAGCAAGCATCCATATTCACTAGCAACTATCACAATTGCCCTGTGTCATTTCCACCCCCCTCCTGCTCTATGTGCCATGGTTCATCTGTAAGCAAAGCCAGGAAACAGGGTATTTTAGGGGGTACTTTATCAATCATGAATAATAAAATCCTACCAGACAACTAATGTCACTCTGCTGGCTTCTAACAGAGCCTCACGCTGAGCTGTCCTGAGCTGTAGATGAGGCCCAGGTGCAGTTAAGGAAGTGGCTCTCAATTGGCTCACCTTTCAGTTTCCTAACTTGCAGTAAGAGACCATTGGTAGTCTCAGCCCTTCCTATTTATAACTGGGCTGTTACTAGATTTTTAACTTCTTGTTCCAGGTCTGCACAAGTTGGGATCACGGATATTGCAGATGTGAAACAGCAAAACCTTACACTGCTACTATGATTTGTCCTGGCGACCATTTTTGAACACAGGTATTATACTACTAAGAAATTTTACCTTCAGCCTCTTTAAAAGTGGGAAAGGCTGAGAACAGCCTTTTTGAAGAGTGATAAAAACAATACTATCTAACAGATTAGGGATATAACAATTTTAGCCTTTTGCAAAGACAAGGAAAAAACAATCCCTTGATAGCTAGTCACCAAATCATTTCCAAATTGTGTCTTCCTCACCCAGAAGAACCTTGTACAGGCAGTCCCCGGGTTACATGGATCCGACTTACATCGGATCCCTACTTACAAACAGGGTGAGGCAACCCCGCACTAGCTGCTTCCCCCCAGCAGACCAGGGAGACGCGAAGCTAGCGCCCCCCACAGCAGACCAGGGAGACGCGGAGCGGCTTTTCTCAGCAGATACCTCAGCTTGAGAATAAAGGACTGAGGGAAGTGAGGTGTGGGAGAATAAAACTGAGCTCTGGAGAAATGTTTGGCTAGAGTTTCCCCTACAATATGTACCAGTTCCGACTTACATACAAATTCAACTTAAGAACAAACCTACAGTCCCTATCTTGTACGTAACCCGGGGACTGCCTGTATATGGATCTAAGTTACACACCTGCTGGAGTGACAAAGATCTGAATAGCAGTTGGGTAGTATTAAAGAGACTTTGCATAAGAAAAGAATGAATCCTCCCCCCCAAGCTAAGACCACCCATACAACTCTAAATTCTTAGTTTGGAATTACAAATGTGAAAGGGATAGAGTGTGACTAAGGTACAAACAAGAAAGCAGTTCTTTAAGCCCTTGAAATCAGTGTCCTTCAACTTCTGCCAAAGTATACACATTGTATGTACACATTTTGAAGAGCTTACTTTGAAGTATACTTCTTGTTTAAAAATCTGTCAACAAGGAGGGTTGAGAATAATTAATTCCAGTTCATGATTTTGTCACTGAAAGCAAGAACAGTTGCTTGAAAAGGGGGACAGTGTCCCTCTGTTGTTTAAATACATGTCAAATATACCACTAGTATTTCCAGTCACATTTTAGAGATGACCTCAGTTAATAAAACTGTTCATGCTTTACAAGGAATGGAATATACTCACTTCAGAACAATCTGTAAGTATAGATCAAGGGACCGTTACTGCAATGTTGAGCCACAATGAAGAAATATAAACTCCAAAATGTCTTTGAAAATTTTCAAAGTGCAGTCTTTTACAATGGATCCCAGATATTTTAGACTCCTAATTAGTAGGGGGGAAATCCGTTTATATTTTACAATACCTGCAAAGCATCTCTGTTTGTGGATGAAAAAATTAAAAGCTACAATTTTATTATAACTTTTTTTGCAATGTTCATTTCAGTGATGCAAGAAATCTAGACAACTGAGTCTCTCTCTCCCAGTGGTTCAGAAACATGCTAATCACACCATTTAAACTCTGAACCAGGTATTTTCAATCACAAAGGCTATGTCTACACTGGTGTGTTCTTGTGCCAGAAATATGCAAATGAGGCTAAGCACTGACTATCGCTGAGCCTTCTGGCGCAAGAGCCTCTTCTGCAAAATGGCGGCTCATTAGGTATGCAAATGAGGCTCAGCGATATTCCACACTTAGCCTCATTTGCATATTTCTGGCACAAGAACCCGCCAGTGTAGACATAGCCCAAGTGTTTAAATGATCATCAGCTATCTTCAAATCTAAGAAGATTAGTCATCAACAGGTATTGCAAAAGATCTATTTGTAGTTTACATTTCCATAATGGTTGTATTAAAAAAGTAGGTAAAAAACTGACATTCAATTGTGAAAATACAATTGGACATACAAGCATCTAGATTACTATTTAATAAGCATGTCAGATAAGCCATAATTTAAGAGTTGTTATAGCATCTGTTGAGTCAATATACAAGCATCTAGATTACTATTTAATATGCATGTCAGATAAACCATAATTTAAGAGTTGTTACAGCATCTGTTGAGTCAACTGATTATACTTGGAACACAGCTTAATAGATTACTTGTTTTTATTGTATTTAGAATTAACATCCATCTTTGAGACATGAGGCATTTAGTTTTTGTCTGTCAAAAGTGAATTGTTTGTATAAGATTGAAAAAAAATTTAAACATGTGACTCATTAAAGAACCTGATTTAAAATGCATTTATGGATGCTCTTTTATGACTTGCAAAGTTGTTGTCTCACTCATAATTGATCTAACCACCCTATTGTTAGTCCTGTAATAGCAGGCAGAGAGGTAACAATCTCGAGGAAAGCTAATTAGGGAAAGTAAAGGCCTACAATAAGGAAGCTAAGACAACAACATAATTTGAAGGTATGAATCAATTTTTTAATTTTGTTTTTCCCCTATCTCCTGAGATTTTTGGCTAGTATTGCTTGATTCTTTGCAATTCTTCCATCTTTTGAATGAAGATCACTGTCTAAGGTTTTCAACAAGACTAGAAATAGTGTTTATACAAAAATGGAGCTAAAAATATATATTGAATAAAATAACCACATTTAAAAAAAGATTTCCACTGTACTAAAAATTTAAAATCAAACAGCTACAAACTCAGACATAGGATTGAAGAAGTATAATTTGTATATAGAAAGCAACACATCCCATGAAACTAGAGTCTTTTGCAACATTAAAGAAACTAAGATTTGGAATACCACATTATCCTGTTTGGCGAGTTCCTTCCAAACTGGTAAGCCTTTAAAATAACTGAAAAAAATCCTTCAAGTGTCTTTTCTGCAAAAAATCCTCCTACATTATACAACAGAAGGTGGCATGGGTAATATTCTTAAGGTGTGATGACTGATCACAATGTCCATTTTGGCCATTAAAAAAGAAATCAGATCAATGTTTTTTATTAGATACTAGAAAATTTACCTGTCGCTGCTCGGGTCCTTAATTTTTGTTTTTCCTTCATTTAAAGCATTGCTCTTGCATGAGGCTGGTGATAAGGGGTTCAGTTTGCAGGCTTCCCCAGGGAGAGAGAACTACTCCAGTCCTCTCTCACCACAGCTGCTTGGGGCCAGATGAGAAGTAGAGATATCAATGTGTATGTACTTGCATAAGTGGTTAACTGATGAGCCTTCTCAGTTACATGCAATCAATCCCCCAACCCCTGCTGCCTCTGATATAGAGGCAGTAGAGCAGTGGAGCCAGTGTGTGTGTGGGGAGCCAGCTTTTAAACCAGCTCCCCCTGTGTGCCAGCTCCTGTGGAGCCACCCCATCTCCCCACCCTGCAGCTGCCTCCCAGTGTCAGGTGCCTCTTGAAAGATCCAAACCACAGCTGTTATGGTTTGTTTTATGTATCTTTAAAACAAAAAACAAAAAACCCAGGAAATTATATACAAAAGCAAGGTTATAAAAACATTTAGTTTACAAAACCACTCAAAATTCTAGATTAAGGTTGCCTGTAAAACTTTTACTTGGCCCCTATATACTTAAATAATAATTAGAGCCTGCATCATAAAGCATAAGTCTGTGCCATTTTTGCCTAGTAAAACTTGGGATTGGTCCTGCCTTGGGCAGGGGGCTGGACTTGATGACCTTCTGAGGTTTCTTCCAGCTCTGTGGTTCTATGATTCTATGAACTGACACCACAGTTTACCTGCCGAAGCAAAAAGGCCACGATTACTACAATAACTAAATTGCCCACCCCTTTAAAAAAAGATAAGCAGCACTCTGTAAGGTGGTTTCTGTAGCCCAGATACTTTGGCCTCCTTTGTAATTTGCGTCACTAACACGTGAACAGATTTACACTCAAGAAAACAGAGCAGACACAGACTTTGCTTCTTAAGCTTCAGAGAGGTAGCTAAGTTAGTCTGTAACTGGAAAAGCTTAAAAAACCACCAACAGTCTTGCAGCAGCTCACAGACTACCCACTAAAGCTCATGATACCATCTACATGTTCTGTTAGTCTCCATGTTGCTGCTGCCTGTTAGCTACAGGCTGCCCTGAGCGCTTTGCCAACCCCACGTACATCAGGAGGCCAGTTCCACCCGCTGCAGCGAACCACGGTACGGACCCACTACCCAGCCTGGCTCTGCTGGTGGAGCGGCGCGGGGGCTGCGGGAAAGCCGCCTCCCTGACCGAAACTCCATCTACATGTTCTGTTAGTCTCCATGTTGCTGCTGCCTGTTAGCTACAGGCTGCCCTGAGCGCTTTGCCAACCCCACGTACATCAGGAGGCCAGTTCCACCCGCTGCAGCGAACCACGGTACGGACCCACTACCCAGCCTGGCTCTGCTGGTGGAGCGGCGCGGGGGCTGCGGGAAAGCCGCCTCCCTGACCGAAACTC